GCATATATAGCACATTAATTGACAAAAATTTCAAAGTAAAAAGATCAAAAAAAATTAAAAATAACCCCAATTTGATCCTTTACTTTAGAAAAAAAGCCCTTTTTAGTCTTTTTTTTTTTTTATTTCCATCATTTAACTCAAAACTTAACTAATAAACTAAAAAATGGTCAAATTTCAAACTTTTGATCCAATAAAAAAACTTTTTTAAATAGAAAAATTAAAAAGAAATTCTTATCAAAATCGAGTGATCAAATTAAGGTTTTAACCAAAAAAAACCCCCGAAAGAGAACCCAAACTCTATCATTGAACTTTCACTAGCCAATTTGATCTCTTTTGGGGTTTTTTTTGGTTAAAACCTTAATTTGATCTCTCTATTTTGATAACAATTTCTTTTTAATTTTTCTATTTAAAGGATCTCTCTGTTTTGACCCATTTAATGAGCAAGAAAAATCATACACCGGTGGTAATTAGGCAAAGAAAAATGGTGCATGGGTGGTTGGATTTTTTGCTATAAATACCCATGCATGCAAAGGCAATGGGCAAGCAAGAGTGAGAGCAAGCTTGAGAAGTGAGAAGAGCTAAGTGAGTGGGAGCTCTTGTGAGAGAAAAGAAAGAGAAAAATTGTGAGAAAATTCTTATGTAAATTAAGAGAAAATATTAACTAGAATTTGAGAATTTCTATGCATTAAAGTTAGGGTATTGAGAGATTTTTGAATGCGAGAGTTTTTAAATTATTGTACTTTTTTTTCTTAATAATAGATTTATTTTTCTTTTTTCTGTGAATGTAAACTTGTTGAAAGGTATAGAAGTTGAATCAGTTAAATTATTATCTCAATTTCTTTATCGCCTCAATTTCATTATTGTTTTTGTTTGCGTGACATTGTAGTACTCGAAATTCCCAAAAAATAGTGAATGGAGACGTTTATATTAATAAATGAAATGAAGTTGGTAGTTGTTAATTGATGTCTAATAGTTAATTGTCATCCAAGTTTATAATTTGTAGAATTCGTGAATGACCGGCTATCGTGTTTTACTCATCTTTTTGTAGTAGTGTATGGAGACATTTGGTTTACTAATTTAGATGAAATTGGTAATTAATAATTGATATTTGATGGTTAATTGTTATTAAAAATTATAATTTTAAAACTTTAATCCATTTAATTAAAAAACTAGTTAAAAAATGTTTTTAAATGGTGACACAGGGCTTGCGGAAGCATGATTCCATGCTTCTTCAGCTTCTACACTTCACTAAGGAATTAGCCAAAGGATGCCAAGAGAACCCTGGAAAGAGCGTAGAGACCATC